TGGGACTGGAAAGGTCAGATTTTTTTATAACAAGGTGGCAAACGAGCAAGCGGCCACCTGAAACCGCCAAAATGGCGAAGCGACTGCTGCCCATAGACATCCGCAATTGCAGATGCGTTGCCTACCCTTACACGACGGAGGAGGAGACGCACATAAAAAGGATGTTTCCCCTTCCTATGCATCTCCTCCACCGTCAAATCCACTTCCTCTTCCTAACCTCTCCTTATAAAAAAAGGGTGGTAAAGAGAAAGGGACTTAAATTAGGCCTCCGGCACCACACTTATCAGACGAAACACGGAATTGCTTCCATTTCACGCCTATCTTCTGTGTGGTCGTGGTATTACACCGGGCGTGCCGGCCCATTCGTGCTGAGATGTTAAAGCGGGCACTACCACTGTTAAAATAGATAGAAGATGAATGTTATTTTGCGTGTTAAAGGGGTTAATTAAAATCTAGCTTTTTAGTTATTTAAATTACTTGTATGTCAAGATTTGTTTATGACAATCATATGAAGTATATAATATACTAATATTATAAATGCGAAAATTTAGATGGATGGATGGATGGTTGGGGATGGATGGATGTTTGTTAGTGTTTGTAGCCTAAACGGCTAAACAGATTTCGATCAAATGTTGTATAGATGTAGAGGATAGTTTGGAAGAACATATAGGCTACTCATTTTTTTTCTAATTCCACGTGGACGGAGTCGCGGGCGACAGGTAGTATTATTCTAAATTAAATATTAAAAGTGAATAAAGCAAATTGAATGATTATCTCAGAAAGCTGAATTATCAACATCTCCAAATAAATCTAGATTTAAATTGATAAAAGCAAAACTAATATTGAAAACCGGTTTCTTTATATGAATGAAACGAACAGGTCTTATGATTTCATCAATTTTCAATATAGAAATAATTTTAAACTCTATCGTACATGTTATAAGAGCGAAAATTGCATGAACTAAATTATTTGAATTATTAATCAGAAGTGTTCAACATTGCAATGACTACGCAACAAGTAATACTAACAGTTAATTTTATCAGAAACTTATAAATGAAAAAGAAAGATATTTATTTGAATCAAATTAAATTATTTACTTTATATTGGTATATATTTCGTTCTCTCACACTACTTTTTTTCTAGAGTTCCAAGCACTTTACAATGTTAATGTTTACGACTTATGGCCGGTTACCCAGCTACATTTAGCCATTCGTTAGTGTTATTGATTCGATCACTTCGTGAAATGCGTTTCCGTACTACTTAACTTGTTATAACCTAAAACTCCGTTGAAATTTAGATCAATCTAACACTAATGATTCTTAGTATTGATGAAATAAATGGAAACTTCAGAAACCCAGAATTAAACTACTAAATTATCTCTGTGATGCTTTCATAGGCATCATATCTTCTAAAATACATTTACGTTGGTACTGTAAATTCACCTAAACTTTATGTCAGTTAAAGTGTCTTTAGTTAACTAACTTGGCACTAAATAATCATTACTTTGAAGCGAAATCAAAAGATCTCTCGCCGTTTCAAACTAATCAATCATGACTTTTACTGCAGTGTTATTCAGATCGTGAACTTTATCAATTTGCTAGTTGCATTATATGTTATATGATCTTGCATAGGCGTTTGACACAGTTGACTATAGGCTTCTGATTTTATTCTGAAAATAATTCAATTAAATACAATCAAAGAATATTTGATTGGAGCATATTAATACGAGACATCACAATTTTAAATTAAAAGTTTATAGAGATTTGTTTGAATCAATAATAGTCATGGTGTACCGCAAGGCTATATCTTGGGCCCGCATTTCGTTACCAGTTAAATCTTATATCGTTGGTATTAATAATACATTTTTCAAGTATTGCGACACAAAGAGGTAGTTAAGGACAAACTAGTAACGGACTTAGATACCGAATAAATCTATATTAGTATTTACATAAATCAAATAGGTAACAGTCGCCATGTTTCTATTATTTATGTTTGACCAAATGTGGCTTTTGGGTAATTGTTTGACCGCCTTAGCAAAACTTTTAACGCATACATTTTATTCTCTTAATATATTTGTTTTCTTTGCAATATATTGCTTTGATTTCGCCTTTGATTATGTAAATTTCATTGTCGACTTTAAAATAATTAACATACAAAAGTGTATCTGACGACACCTCGTTGTTCACTTACCGGATATTATTCTCTATCTAAATTAGTTCTCTAAAGCTAAATTAAAATATTTATCGACTTTAATTACAATGATAGAACTCCGCATTTCGTCTGATGAGTGTGGTGCCGGAGGCCTAATTTTAGTCCCTTTTCCTTTCCACCCTTTTCTTAAGAGGAAAGGATGGGAGGAAAAAGTGGATTGGACGGTGAAGGAGATGCATAGGAAGGGGAAATGTCCTCTTTATGTGCGTCTCCTTCTCCGTCAATTAGGGTAGGCAACGCATCTACAATAGCGGATGTTTATGGGCAGCGGTCGCTTTCCATTTCGGTGGATTCAGGTCACGCTTGCTCGTTTGCCACCTCGTATTATAAAAAAAAAAGAACTTGACAGTTTATATCATCATCATAAACAGCCTTAGGTCGTCCAATAAAAATTAAGGTTTTGGTCCCCTTCCCTTTCCCACTAATTTTTGACTGATGGGACGCATAAGTGCAGGAAATATCCTCTTTTTTTCATCCATCAATTAAAGATGGAATAGTGCATGCTGATGCCAATCTACGGGTTGGCATAGCGGTTGCTATTTCGACAAATTTAGGTATTTAGGTACTCGTTAACTCCTTTAAAAAACAGTAAATTCGCTGGTTTATTGTATTCAATGTATATATCTGTACTTAAAGATCGTTCATATCGTAGTAGATATACTACTCGTAAATGTAGTATTTGTCTTATAGACAAAATCTCGCGTCAGTACTCTGATCGTAGTTTAGCCGTGACATACTCAGCCTTTACCAGATTTGGTGCGCGAGGACTGCAGCTGTATAAATACTTTACATACCAATGTCGACTTAAAGCTCACACATAGGTATCACGTACACACATACAAAGAAATACGCAAATTGCTTTTCGAGTGTCAATTGTTTTAACGTTGTCTTTGGGATCTATCTTACTAATATTATAAATGCCAAAGTTTAGATGGATGGATGTTTGTTAGAGTTTGCAGCCCAAACGGCTGAACGTTTCTCGATGAAATTTGGCATAGATGTAGAGGATAGTCTGGAAGAACACATAGGCTACTCACTTTTGTTTTTTTTTAATTTCACGCGGACGGAGTCGCGGGCAAAAGCTCGTATGTTTATATTACACTAACTATACGCTCCAGATAATATATACGCGCTAATAAAGTTAGGGGCAAAATGAAAAATATAGCTCTTCGAGAAAGGGACAAAAACTACAAGCCGATAGCAGCAAAGAAGCAAGTTTGCTATCGTGACTTTTTTTCAACAAAAGTATTCCTTGGCATTTTAATTTGAACATTTACAATTAAAAGCCGCACGGAAACAAGACTTTAATAATTTCTAATTAACTAATGTTGACATCTTCCTGTATTTATTTCACTCTCTGTAAGAGACAAGTTTTTTTTTCTTTTTTTTTCAGTCATTTGTTAACCCTAGTTGTATTTAAGTGACGTTTAACTCTATAAGTAGTTGTAAAATGATACAAAATGAAATAAGCTCCGAATTCAAACTAAAACCAGCTGCATAATGTTGCAAGCGTAGGATGTAAGATTCTAGTTGCATTTTCACTGACCACTAATTTTCCATTCACAGATCAGCTAGGGTTGTCGAACGAGAGAGAAAAGAACTACTGTCAAACTAGACAAAATTAAATCAAATTTAATAATAATCATTTAGAAATTACTGTCTTATCATTTTTTTATGGATTCCATTTTTCTATGGAATGGTCTCTTATCTATACTTCTATACTATTATAATAAAGCGTAAACACACACTTCTTTGTGGCCTAAGATGTCAGCAATTACAGTATATTTTTCAATAATTCTTTTTTTAATAGAAACCCCTACACTTACGTCACGTTTTAGGCTATATATTTTCACTCCATTAAACTTGGGGGGTAAATATTTTGGGAAACCCTAATGTGGGAAAGAGACCATAAGTTGCTGATAACATCAAGAAAGTAAATTGCTTAGGTTTGTCATGCATGTCATTTTGACATTTGCTATTGACAATTTGACAAATGTAAACAATAAAATAAAATTTTCGTAATTTCATGTGGACGAAGCCGCACGGGAACAGCTAGTCTCCTTATAAATCTTAAACGACAAGTAAACTAGACGATGAAGACTCTCATGAGATATTATTATTAAATTGATTTAAATGAACCTTAACAGCCCTAACATTTTGATGGCGCCAATAGATTCCTATCAAATGTACATCTTTGGGCTAATTTCTCAATTGACTATGAACTTTATTCCTATAAGTTAAGGTGTAAATTAAAATAGATTCTTTCACAACCAAGGCAGGTACTTAAATTATATTTAGTAGATACTTCTAAGGAACGAATAATGTGGGCGATTTATTGACTACGGAAAGAAATAGGTTATGATCAGAACAAATTAGCGTGTTTTCTTAGATGTGGCTTGTTAGTTTGGATTAGTAACATTGACCTACGATGAATGCTTTAAAATAAGTAATAGTCTTCTTTGGGAATTTTTGTCGGAATTTTAAATAATTGTAAGAATCAAATGACCTCGGTTATCGTGGATTTCTAGCGAAAATACCCTAGTAACATTAGGCTGCTTATCAAATTTAGAATGTAACACATGGTGTAAAATTTCTTCTTAATTATCAACTGCTGTTACTGACGTGCGAAGAACACAAAGGCATTTGCAGAATATCAGCGTTTATTACCCTCAGGGGCAGTAAATACATAGCTGAGCAAAGGCCCAATCTGTTCAGCATTGCAACTCTTACAGAGTTGTAAGCCCTCATTTTTAAGGCGTCATTGACAGATGTTTTTGTTCTTGTTTCAGGTCGAATAAGGCATCAAGATGACGACGAAATCGTACAGCAAGCACAAGGAGTACAAGGAGATATCCAGCAGAGGCACCGTGCCTTACACCGACGAACAATTCGGTAACGTATCAAGATTGTTTTACATGGTTCACACTTGGTCAGCACAGTTGACGAGTTGTGACGGCTAGTCATAAATTTGTATGTAATTACTAGTGACAGCGTACACACTGTGTCAATTTATTGACAGTCCTGTTATTGAGCTCTACTAACCTGTACTGGCCAAGTGTGAACCGCGCATTATGTCGTAATACAATCTCGATAGTTAATTTAATTCGTCATTTAGTTAGCAAGCTCAAAAAATCATCAAGTTAAAGCAGAACTGATATTTTATCGATTTATTACTTTAAGTAAAATGACGGTACCTTAAAATTATCTATGTAAAATGGTTACTAATGCAAACTATTCTTAATTGTAAAAAATACTGATGGTGTGGGGTAAAATCTATTTGAAACTTTGCTGGTAAGTTAGTTGCTAAAACACAGTAGTCATTAAATATAATCACTCATTATTTACAGATATGATGAAATCCGAGCTCCTACCTAAAGGCAGTAAACTTGACTCTCTGGGCCGCGGTACTGGTACCCGGGAGTACCACTATGAGTACAAAGAAGAGAAGCTGCCTGGTGGCAAATACGATCGGAAGGACTACCATACTGTTGAGGTGAGGCCCCACAAAACCTAACCACACATAACCTAACACATAGTAGTTACCTTTAAAGCATAGCTCGATTTTTAGTTTCGATTAAACAACCGATAATCTTACAGCAGCTGTGCGATTCTTTAGTCGAAGGTGTGCTTCCTCTGTTCCTGTCATAGAGGTATAAAACAAAATGCATATTCTAATAAAAAATGCTGTAAAACAACATTAGCCAAAACACCCCACAATCAGACATAACTCCAGTTTTGAGACTGAAGATCGGATTTTCCCAGAATTTTCTTTTACAATCTTTTCAAATTTCGACTAATTTTGGGAACCAATGCTGCCTGCTCCTATATTTCTTCTTTAACTTGTAAACCCTCAACTTTATATATCGTTGTTACCTACTGACCCTGGATGCCCTTTTCCCTTGACTACTTTGCGAACTCGTTTGTTAGATCTTTCGCAAATAACCGAGATCTTTCAATATTCCAGGAATACACGATTCCTGCAAGAAGTTTACCGAAGTCTTCAGAAAGTAGTTCGTATTACTACGAGAAAGAGGAAAGGGAATTACCTGCTATTACCACTGGCACTCGGACATATAACTATGAGACAACTGGCACATCTCCTGGTAATTATCCTCTATATTATTTCTTTTATAATGAGTGGCTTCAAGATGAAGATCTCTTAAGGATCAATAGCTCTTGCCTATTTTTTTATCCCTTTGAGAAACATCTGAGTGTTTATTAGCGTTGCTTAGCTTTGAAGGACAGAGGATAGGATGACCAGAAATGATATATTCCTCCTTCTAAACATCTACTCTTCTTGAAAAGGCGATAGTACTGAATTTAACTTAATCTGAATAAAATGCAGAATTACCTTACACTTGTCTTTATGGTCCTGCTATAAACTACATCGGTAAAGTGGGACAGTCGTGTAACAGAGAACGTTGCTATAGTAAAATATGTAACAGTGGTAGAGCCCGCTCTAACATCTTCGCACGATTGGGCCGGCTCGTCCCTAGCAATACCGCGACCATACAGAAGACAGGCGTGAAGTGGAAGCAATTCCGCGTTACATCTGATGAGTGTGGTGCCGGAGGCCTAATTTTCGTCTCTTTCTCTTTCTACCTTTTACTGGAGATGAAAGGATGGGAAGGATAAGTGAATTTGACGGTTAAGGGGACGGACATAGGAAGGGGAAATGTCCTCTTTGTGTGTGTCTCCTCCTCCGTCAATTAAGGGTAGGCATTGCATCTGCAATTGCGGATGTTTATGGGCGGCGGTCGTTTTGCATTTCGGTGGATTCAGGTGGCCGCTTGCTCGTTTGCCACGTTATATTTTAAATAAAAAAAAAATCAAATTTCCCTTCTCCTTCTCTTTTAGGTTATTCCAAAGTGAATACCAAAGTGACTAAGGAAATGACTCAGAATGTTGAAGAGTTGGATTCTCTTCTGGATGATTTGCAGAAGGATCAAGAACGTCAATTGTACAAGAGTGAGTATATAGATATTCCCTTACACTGCAGTATTTGTGTTAAAGCATTTTGTCTCTGTTTTTGAAAGGGAATGTGAGAGGGATGGAACGATGTTTCAACACAATCATGCATTTTACAATTTATTGAAATATTTTATTGCATTAAGTTATAGCCGATAAAAATAAGTTCGATTTATTTGATTACTTACGAAACGAATTTGACAAAGTCCAAAATATAGCACTATAGCGAAAAGTCAATAAGCCAAAAACATGAAGATATACAGCCAGAAAGAATATGACGGTAGTTTTAGAAAAAAACTCTCTCAGTGTTTGTTGAAATTTAATATATACAACTGTACAACTTTTATATACAACTTTTTTTTAATTCCAGGTGGTTATACTTCAGATACCGCTGAAAGTACGTCCTTTGACTACAGGCGAGGGTAGGTCTAAATTTTAATTAAAGATTCCAAACTCTGCTCAATTTCAATGATTTTAAAAGTATTTATCTCATATTACTGTTCTGACGCTTTCATGAAGATGGATTAATGTGGTAATTTTTTTTTATGGTTTTTAAAATAAGCCCCTGACCACGATCACACCTATAGTTAAATGTTGGAAAGTTAATAATCAAATACCGTACTCAATTGCTTCTTTATATTAAACACTAAAACTCCCCTTAGTAACTTGCTAAGTGTAATTTAAGTACGACATTGACTAGTAGATAACATTTTTCTCGAATTTCTATGAAAATACATTTTTATAAGAGAAGGGGACAAACGAGCGGAAGGAACATTTAGGTGAAGACGATGGCCATATACATTTGGGTTGCCTGTCTTTAATCAAGTATAAGATATTTCCCCTACCATCCCGTCCCATTCCACACCAATTCCATCCCATCCTTACCTTGTACTTATAGAACTCACTGAACTACAGCGTTTCCCGCCTTTAAGCGTATAATCTCAAACTACCCTCAGTACACCAGCAAAGGCGCCGTCTAGTGGATACTCTACGTTGAAGCACGAGGAGCGCGTGGAGTCCTGGGGCTCCAGCCCTGCGCCGACAGTCACACGTGCTGCTGAACTGCGACAGCAGATGTATAGAGAGGAGAAAACTGGTAGGATATAAGCTAGGTTGTCAACCTAAAGTGGGCCTTGGCTACATATTGTAAGAGTCTACTTTCGCTTGGATTTCCTTGCCCCTAATAATCGTGTTAATTATTGGGTGCATGTATTTTTAATAGAAATATGTACTATCATACATGCATATAGAACAATCTGGAAGGACACATTGGTTACTTAAGTTTTTTTATTCATTACTCGTCGATGACATCGCAAGTAATTATTATTTTCTTTTAAAATAACAATCATACTTAATCAAATAAGAGCATGCGCACACTTTTGACTAAACTATCGCACAACTATTCTCGTTTTGATTCCTACGAGCTTATATGGAGGTGCGCTCACTACTCGATTCTTAGTTGTGCAACTAAACAATCGCACAAGTGTTGTGTCATAATTTAGTCAAAGGTGTGCGCCCGCTCTTTGACCTTACTATGTTTAAGTCTGTTCAGACTACATCATGATCTGCATCCATAATTCACAGAGTCCCGCGTGGTGCCGGCCGTGGTGCCAGCGCCGGCGCCGCTGCAGGTGCCAGCCCCAGTCTGCACGCATTGCCACCAGCCTGGCACCACAGGCACTGTGAGTACAACCTTAGTGTCATAATTACCTGTTATATTTCCCAGTTGGAAGAGTACTATCAAAGACTTATCATCATCTCCCCTACCTTATCCTACTCCCGTAGGGCGCACCAGGTGTTCGTCCTCCAAAGCACTCTATCATCACTCCCTTCTTGATCATGTCACCTTTCACACAATCCATCCATCTCTTTCAATACCATCAAAGACTTACCTAGTTCAAGAAATTAGTTCGTACTTCGTTCATCGTTCATTGCAGTGAAAAATGTTCTCAATTCTTTGCTTATTCTTGGTATTCTAAAAATAATACTTGGGTAGAGGTAGACGTAGAAAGAGATGGATGGATTGAAAGGTGACATGATCAAGAAGAGAGTGACTGAGATAACGGATGACAGCGTTATTTCGAGGACGAAAGTCCGGTTTGCCCTACGGGAGTAGGATAAAGTAGGGTAGATAATAATTCTAATACTTATTGTGATTAACTTTAGAGGGGGGGAGGGGTTTTGCTCCTCAATAGTGACATTCATAAATACTGTAACTTTTTAATTTCATGTTCAGTTGCCACGTGGTAGTACACCAATGAATAAGGTAACTACCACAGTGAAGACGTACACGTACGAGGTGCCGGCGGACACGGACCCCGCCAGTGTGCCCATACCCGCGCACGCGGACACACACACCTATGTGTCGAATGACACACATCGCACGTATGTATAAACATACTAACTTAATTAAGTTTACAAAAGTTGGAAATCCGGCTCCAAGGACCATAAGACGGAAGCACTTTGATTATCGCACAACTGTTGTTCGATAGTCGATTGTTTCGCAGACAATTGTTTAGTTGCACAACTAAAACTCGAGTATAAAAGGAATCAAAGCGACACTAAACACTTGTGCTATAGTTTAGTCAAAGATGTGCGCTCTAAGTTATTACATAACTATCTGTTCCCGTGCGACGTCATCCGTATTAAATTATGAAAATTTTATTTTTATTATCAATAGCAAATGTCAAAATGACATGACACGACAAACCTTGGCAATCTTCCTTTCTTGATGTTGGCAGCAACTTATGGTTTCTTTCCCACATAAGGGTTTTTATCCAAAATATTTGCCCCCTAAGTTTAATAGCGTGAAAATATATAGCCTAAAGCGTGACTTAAGTGTAAGGCTTTTTATTAAAAAAAGATATATTCAAAAATATGCTGTAACTGCTGACATCTTAGGTAACAAAGAAGTGTGTGTTTACGATTTATTATAATAGTATAGATATTCTGAAATTGATACTTCTGCATACTTAACAAATTTATCTGACATAGTTTGTAAAACTCTCTTAAAGGAAATATCCGACTTGAAGGACCAAATTACTAATATCAATTTTTCTTTAAAAATGCAATAATATATTCTTTTTTTATGTTAAAATAGTATTATTTAACGTTTTTGATGTATTTTCAAATAAATTATATTTCAGTACGACGCTAACTCGTCCAGGGGAGGGCTCCCCCGCGCCCGGCTGCCAGTACTGCGCGCACTGCAACACGCGCCTGCACTACAGCCGCACGCACCTCTCTGACGGTCAGTTTGTAAACTAACTGGGGAACTATCGACTGCGTAAAACGATAAAAAAGATACATAACACTTTAGGGAAAATTAAAATATTAGAATCCATAGTAATTAAATGAGAATTCACATTTTTTTTATTGCAAACTACTTTTGATTCATATTATCGTATGTACTGAATAACAAGCACTAAGATGGAAGAACCCTGGCTTCTACTAGATGGGCCTAGAGCAGGTTTATTTCCAACCGTCATCCCGCTCTGTCCCCACGTCGGGACAGATGAATAAAAAGTTTCTTCCGTCCCACCTTTTAGTCCCACTATCACTAATAACGTGACAGATGGAACCATTAAGATGGAAAATAAGTTCCAACGGCCCCTTGTCGTAAAAGGGTGTTTCATCCGTCCCACCTTTTAGTCCTACTATCACTAATAACGTGACAAATGGAACCATTGAGATATAAAATAAAATCCAACGGCCCCTCTTCGTAAAAGGTAGGACGGATGAAACCTTTTATGCTCATCTGTCCCCACGTGGGGACAGAGCAAGGTGACGATTGGAAATAATCCCTAGAGCCTAGTGTTAAGACGCTATTCACTGTTCTAGATAAATAATTTTGAAACAAACTTAAAAATAAACCTTAAATGTTTAATTGTATTACAGAAAATACAACTACTAATGAACGTATGGTGTACCCGAGCCCTGCCAACGAGCCCCACGCACCCCACGGACCCCACGGACCCCACGCACCCCACGTGCTGCCCGCAGAGCCGCACAATGGACACGGCCCTTATGTAAGTCTATTTTTTATAACTAGCTTTCACCCGCTATTCCCTTCGCGAGGAATTAAAAAAAAGTATCCTCTACTTAGAGGACTTCTATGCCAAATTTCATCGAAATCCGTTCAGCCGTTTAGGCTACAAACTCTAACAAACAACTATCCATCTGCACTCTTGCATTTAATTTCGTTATTTCTGTTTCCAGGGTCCAACAACATACAAATACTCTGAGACGAGCTACTCCTCGCACAACTCCACCCTCAGCCCGCCCCCGCACGCCCCGCACGCCCCGCACGCCCCCCACGCCCCCCACAGGCACGCCTCGCCCTCCCCCGCGCCCTCCCCGGCGCCCTTCCCGCGCCCGCACACGCCCTCCCCCGCGGAGCAGCAGCCGCCCAAGAGGCTGGATGACCTCCTCGCTGACTTCCCTGAAGCTGTAAGTAAACTTTATTTTATCCTTGCTCAGTATTTATTTTGTGAAATGTTACTATTGCAATATATTTATTTAAATATGTAAATAAAATAATAGTAATCTATACTGATATTATAAAGAGGAAAGATTTGTATTTTTGTATGTATTGAAATAACTCAAAAACTATTAGGGGAGTTATTAAAAATTCTTTCACTATTATCGTTACGTTATACTTAGTTTTTATATCGTTACGTTATCATTAACATGGGTTAAGTTTTTTTTATAACCCCTGGACGAAGTCGTGAGCAATAGCTAGTAGATATCTACTATATATTAGTTTGGGTAGAAATTTTATGTATTGTGTAATAGTGTGATAATAACATTATTTATGTGAGTACATAATATACACAGATTTATAAATAACCGTCACATTCACCATCACATTCCACTTCCAGAGGTTCCCCACTCAGAATGAAGGTGTGCGTCGTCGCGTGGAGACAACGAGAGAGACACGCGACACTTCCCACGTCAGCGTGCCCACCCCCGCGCCCGCAGCTGGCGTGAAGCCCGCGCCTGTAGGCTCCAGTAAGAACGTCGCCGGTCCAGCTGTCTACTACCCGCCCGGACACACGCCCTTCGCGCCTAAGAAGGAAGTCGCGGGATATGAAGCTAGCGTGAGTGTTTTTTAATTTTTTTAGGTATTCTCAAAGAGAAAAACGTCCAAAAATTTTTGGTTTCATAGTTCTTCGAAATTTTGTTTTTACATAAAACATAGACTGAAAATTAATTAACCATAAATGTAATTAAAACTACTCTTGTTTGTTGTTATATAAAAATATATTGGATAACCAAAGCCTAAATTTAAAATCATGCTCGAAGGACCATAAACGATTACGAATTAATTCGTACAAAAACGTCTATCAGTACCGATTTTAGCTCTACTAACGCCCTGGGCGAAATACCTGCGGCTTCCTCACGTGTAATTAAGAGTCAAAAATAAGGTAGGGCAGCATGTTTATAAGAAGGGCGGAACAAAAAATATCATAATTGTCCTCCAATACCCCTTTATGGTCATGGGCGCCCTCTTTTGTATCTTGACTTGAGACTAAGATGTTAGAGTAATTCCTGTAACGCCCTATCCAGGCGCCCAGGGCGCCCAGGGCGGTCGTCAAGTCTTGTTTAACAAATATTTGACACAGGCGATGCAAGGCGGCGGTGCGTACGCGTCAGGCCGCGGCATGTACGAGTACGAGTCAGGCGCCCGCAGCAAGGAGAAGCACTACGAGAAGAAGACTGCAGTGCCGGTCTGCCTACCCCTCTGCTGCGCTATGCCGTGCGTCATATTGTAAACTGACACATAAATGTGACAAAAATATCGTCGAATTCAATAGAAATGAAATTATAACTTCTATATAAATAATTAGCTGTTGCTCGCGACTTCGTCCATGTGAAATAAAAAAATCATAGTATATGTTACTGATAACGTAGCTTTTTAATGGTGAAAGAATTTTTGATATCGGCCCATTAGTTTTTGAATTATTTCAATACATACAAAAATACAAATCTTTCCTCTTTATAATAGTATAGACTTTACTCTATTAGACAACGCAGTGCATTCTTAATTCCTCGCTCGACCACAATCTTAGATAACTTACCTTAGACCAAAAACTTAGAAATAAATCTTTTTTAAAATAGACATGTATATGAATTAAAACTTTAATTTTATAGCCAATAAATTACATAAACATTAAATTATTTTTTCATTCTTATTGAGTTCGATTATAAATTGCAACAAAACATAGATTACTTGGAAATCCGGAAACTACCGATCGAACTAGCCCAGGGCGAGATAACCCAGCCTTTTTACTATACTTTGGGGATAACAAACTTAGTTTCAAATGTAATTAACAGAGTAACGCCCCTCGCTACCGCCCTGGGCGGTCGCCCTAACACTGAGAGTGTCCGGACCTATTACAATAGGTATATTTTAGGGGTCTTATTTTCTCGTGATTTTATTGCAAGGAAAACTAAAAAATCTTTTTATCAGAAACAAGGCAATACATACTTTTTTTATAAAATATGGTATGTTTGAAGGGAGATTGTATTTATAAAGATATTTTATTTTAATTATTACAAACGCAGACAATTTTTTTTTCTTAAAACACCAATGAAATGCTAGATAGGTTTTTTTATGTAATAAGTGATTACAAGACAATTTGGGTATGAAAATTTGAGGTTAGAATTAACATCCAGTCTCGGTTTAAACATCTTTTTTACATAAATAAATATTAAAAAATTATTATTATTTTACCCAAATTGTCAAATATGAAATTAAGTTTTAAAATGTTACAATTTTCTTTTTTTAATACGCATTTGATATTATTAATATAAGTTAAGTCAGTTTGTAAAATAATTTAGAATCTCAAATTATTAAAACATTTTGTTATGTAACTTAAAAAACAAGCATAAGGACTTGGTCCTTGAAAATGCATATTGGGATTTTTTTTTAATATTTGCTTTTAAAAGTAATAATAATTATATACTTTTTATGTCTAAATGTTTGTTTTTCTTTGACAAAGAAATGAAAACTTATTAATATTGACTATATACATTTTTTATAATAATTTAATATCATTTGATGATATTTATTTAATCACAAATTTCACTTATATTTTGTAAATTATATATAAAGTTTTATTCGATGTAAAATATTTTATAAAATACTAACATTTTAAATGTTTGTGTATCGAAAAATCTCTAAAAAAATGGAAAATAAAATTTGAGTTGCTCAGGGTTAAGAAAAAGTTTAGCTTATTGGGCTCTTTTTTCCAGTGAAATCCAGAATTAAACAAATAAAACATATAAGTGCCATTTAATAACCGCAATGTAATGTAACAATAATGTGGAATATTTTAATTATAAATAAATTTTATTAACTGTAATGTATTTTTTTCATTTTCTACCTTTGATCCTCTTCCTAATAAGTTATGTCCGATTCATACAATGTTAGATGCCAGATAATTAAAAAAAAAAACAAAAATTAAATCAGTCTTTTTGGTTCAAGTTGGTTACTTTGGTAGTTTGAGGCAAAAGAGAATCTTATATAGTGTCCAGGAAAAATGTGTACAATGGACTATCACAGATTTTGTTGAAAATATGACGATTTCACCCCTCACCTCTACACAAAGTTGCTTCGTTTGGATGCTAGAGGGTTTTAAAGTTTGCTAATAATTTAACATTTATTATAATATCTCGAAAAGACTATCTCTATTCATATTGAAACAATCATTTTCTTATGCTGTTTTAGTTTGTTTTTTTGTGAAACATATGTCAAAATATTCGGGGTGTTGTAAACTCAACATCAAAACAAATTTGAATCGTATTTTTGCAACCGTCTGTACATTCACATTACAGTTTTTAAACAGATAGTATGAGTTAAAAGATTTTTGAACTCTGTTTAAATTTTAATTTGACGAACGGTTTTGAAATAGAACAATAATTTGTAATTTAACTGCGATCGTAATAGCGAGTAAATGTTCAATTTTAATTATCATACTAATATAAATGCGAAAGTTTAGACGGATGGATGGATGATAGAGCACTTTGATGAAACTTGGTATAGATGTAGAGGATTGTCTGGAAGAACACATAGGCTACTTGCTTTTGTCTTTTTTTCTAATTTGAGATTGATTTAAGATGAAGTCGCGAGCGAAAGCTAGTTATATAAAAATTAAGAGACATTAGCAACACACGACATCTATTGTCAGATCCTCAAAACCATTATTTCTGGAGCTTATTAAAATTTGGAAAATGATTTATTACATGTCGAAACCACGACACGAGGTGGCGTAGTAATGACAACTGATATATAATACTTTTCAAAATACACTGCCGAAAAAATGTTGAGTATGCCTCGTCTATATATTTTTAATGTCTGTTTGTGGTTATAAAAGGAGTAGACATCGAAGTCACCAGGAGGAGCAATAAAACAGTATATCGTAATAAAAACACATATATTTTGCTTTTATATTTTACCAAAACTTCGGATCAAGTCCAACAAGGCAGTCTGCGGGTAGGTCTCCGACTACAAGCTCTGCGCCCGGCGCGCCGCGCCTATCACTTACGTCAAGTTTAATGGATTCATTTTTACAGAGAAATAACAAACCACGCTACAGAAAACACAACTAAGTTCCTATTTGTGAATTTATAAATACAGATAATAAAACATTACCACAGAATTCCACTACTGTGACAATTATAAATTGTAAGCGTCCATTCAGACAGACCGAGGCAGAGTAGAGCGGAATTACATCGCAAATAAAATCGAGCTTTATTCTAAAGACATAAGGTTTAAAACTCTACAAGTCATGAACAATTATAAAAATGACCCGTACAGTAAATTTAAACCTTGTTACAATTGCTTAAGGCTCAATTTAATTTGTAAAATCTGCTCCACTCTTCGGCCTGTCTTAATGGGCCCTTAGTCAATATTTTGTCTTATATGGAAGGAATAGTACGCAAAAAAGTCACGGCAGTGAAATTCTACTATTAGCAATGTAAAACTGTACAGCTTCAATGCGCCAGCGCTGTGAATTACATAACAATTATTTCACAAAAACAAAAGACAAAAAAAACACTAATATTGCATAACTATTACGTTTTCATATAAAAAGTATGACAACCTAAAGCAAATGTGATGACAAAATTCACAAACCACATCAAATTAGAATAATCAATTTTAATTTTACTCAATAATGTCCATTTAATAACCATTGTAAAAATTACAACAAAAAAACAACAGTCGAAACTGGATAAGTGTGAAACTCTAAACCAGCCATTATCCTGCTCGAAGGACCATATCCATAAGCAAGAGACTCCATAAGAGAGAAAAATAAGTGTGAAAAATATCAAGGTCCCTTAGACTCAAACTTATTCAGGTTCCACTGTATGTTTTAAAATTAGCACCAATCGTAACAAAAGAAATTAAACGACTGACAAACATTTGACACTTTCATTACTAATACTGACATAAAACGCAATTTTAAACTTAATACAACCAAAAAAAACAAGAATTCAATCTCATTTGACCGTAATTTTCATATTAAATGAATAATTAAATTGTCCAAGAGATGTTAATAGGCCATGAAATGTGCGTCAAACAGTAAAATTCTATTTTAAACTTGCTGTTGCTTGCTCCTGGCTCAGATCAGAACGAAGTCGCGAGAAAAAGCTAGTATTACACTCTCATTTTATTACTGCATAGACTATTTTTCTGAACTCAATCTCACAAGACAGAAACAACCACTTAACTTAAAAACTATCTTTTTGGCACTAAGAAAGCAAAAAGCAATTATTATGAATTGTTACATCATACAATATTTTGTGGTCGCAAAAGGTTGTGTTTGTGACTTACTCTAGCTTTTTTAAAAAAAATGTTTGCTTCTATAACATTATTTTTAATTTAATAGCCTTACCATTGCAACAAATATCGGATTCAGGTAATTTTCTATATAAGCCAAATAAAGAAAAAAAGGCTTTTTGTAATATTTCAGTCTTGCCAGCTGTCAATAGTCAAACAAACTTATATAGCCTTTATTGCCGCCATTATCGCGGTTAGTTCTATCAAAAAATATCAAAAATATAATCCAGGCTTAAAAATGACACAGAATACTTCAATAAAGTGTTTTTTGTGTCATTTTCCAGACCAGATAAGTTTGTTTTACTATGAGGAATGTCTATTTCTTTGACATTCAAAAAATTAATATGCTTTTGTCCTAAACAACCTTATTACAGCAAAATATGTTTTTAGGTTATATATAAGACTCTGATAACAATTCTATCCCAAATATGTGTATTTTCTTTTTTGTGATTCTTTTAGTATGTGAGCAACATTTGTACCAGCATAAATACCACATAAAACTCTTGATAAATCTTTAAACATGACCAAATATGCAATAATTAAAATTTTATATTCAACATTGTTACATAGAATAACTAAGGTGCCTACAAGTTTTCAGAAGTATAATAGAAAGAGATTGTGATGATATCAAAATTGAGCAAAAAACAGATTCATAATTTCTGCCTACCCTTATAATCAAAAGGGCTTATATAATTTCAGAAAGTTTATATTTTGTTTTGGATAAACTTTGTATGACAATTTAAATACAAGGAAAAAAACAACCTAGAAACTTCTTTTATAAATCATACTAAAATTTTACAATATGTTTGATTCTTGAGAAATGCATAAAGAACAAACAATTATTTTTTAAAATTTACATATATTGCAATAAACCCAACATTTGTAATGTATTTTAATGGCCAGTAAGAATATTTTCCTCAAGTTTCAACCGAAAAAATTATGCAAAAACTTTTTTCACATTTTGAAAAAAGAACAATGTTTTTTTAAACATATTTCAGCCGTGAAACATTAATTATTGTACATTTTCTATATAATTATGTATGAATCCATTAAACATTGACTTATTGGCACGTCTCTTAACAATTGTACTCATGTAACAAAAAACTCAAAGAATATCGAGACTTACTTTAGGCGCGGCGCATCACGTATACAAAAATAATTACTTTTAAGCTCGGAGCACAGCCTCAAAGGTACAAAAACCTTTGCCCGCTGAACAAAATTAAAAAAAAAACTTCGACATTTGACGTAACGCAGGGCTGGCAACCAACTAAATGCATAATATAAATCGTAATTTCTGTCTACATTCAAAAATTATCACAGTTCATCGAAAGCAATTGGAAAATGTTTATTGTAGTTTTAGGAAAATATATGCTTTTTAATGTTTTTTTAAATTATTTGACACATCACAGGTTAAACGTTTTGTTGCCAGCCCTGCGCGTGTTTAACGCAAATTATTGCAACATGAAGCTGGTAATAACTTTCCTAGCCCATATGTAGGCGTTATATTTTAATTACCCTTTTTCTTTGATTAGAGCACTTAAGGTAGATATATTTTGGAACAGTCTGTTGTAGTCACAGAATAATTACAATTTCAGTTATAAATGACTTTGTCCAACACTCGACTCCATGACAGCAATATATATGTATAATATACAATTGGAACTCCTATTATTATTTACCTAATTTCTCTTCATAAATCACATTCGGTAACAAGATAAATCAATATGCAACAGTCTAGATATTTTTGTCTTTCATTTACGATATTTGTGGAGCGGAGCTGAGAATGTATAGAGCAGGGCGGCAGCACTGCGCGGTATCACAACTGAGAGAACGACGCCTCCACTTATAAACGATTAAAAAATAAATACGTGACTAAAAACACATCGGCGCGAACCGGACACCGCGTCGACGTCCCCGCACATTTCATTCCTAACTACATTCACTAACTTACACTGTATGTACATATTCGAGCGCTCACACGGACTAACCAACACTTCTATATACATCGGTTACCCTTAAAACTAACGTAAGGACACTTGGAACACAGCGAGACAACGGGCTTTGGTCGAGCGGCCGCGGGG